ACCGTTAAGTCCGAAAGATGATACACCAATTAGCACTCCGCGGTGAACTGCCGGACCGCCAGAATCACCACCACAAATACCATTGCCGGCACTTTTGGCAAGGCATCTCATCGACTCAGCCAATACATTCATACGTTTAACGCAAGTGTCATGATTTAGTGCCTCCTCTGTATTATACTGCAATATATCGGCCAGGCCGCCACTCGACACTCCACCCCAGCCGGTTACTGTCACTGTTGAACCCTCGGGCACTTCCATGCTAGCAAGTGGTATCGGTTTTATGTTGTTATTAAAATCCAGTGAATGGCTGAGCCTCAGCACAGCGATGTCGTAATTAAATGAGCTATAATCGGGATGGATCTTCACCTCAGCCACTTGTATTTCCACGCCACCGGAGTTAAAATTTACAGTGCCAGCACGAATCCAGTAGTCTGAAGGGGAATAACTGAAGAAGAGATAAGCTGATCGAAAAACTCGGTAGTTACTGTGTATTAAGTCGTTGCTTACCCATCCACACAATGAGCCGCTGTCACTACATAATTTTGTGAGATGATCGCGCCACCACAAACGACAATGTACCCGTCGCCATGACGTGTCACCAACACATGATAAGGAAATTGTCCTACGGCAGCATTCTGGCCTCCATAAATGCGGCTTTGTGGTAATTCAAGCAAGGTCGGGGATGAGGTGCTGTTGGCCGGTGCAGCCTTTGTGATTGCCACTACTTGAAAAAGGATGACAAAGAATAGAACGGAAATTTCCTTGACTTCCATGTTCGCTTCGGCTAATCGTCGAAAATGAATTGAATGCTTTAACGCTTTTGACTATGTTTTATATAAGGAAAAGTTCTTCTAATTACTGCTTGTGAAAATAGCTTACATTCGCAATTTGCTTTGTCTATGGTTGATAAATTGCCGATTGGGTAATCTATTTACAACGTTTTCAAAGAAAAAGTTTTCACACATTAGATAACTGCCTATAAAATGTGATCGCCTTGGCATTTCAAGAGAATTTTTTTTTGCAATATTTATAATAATTTATTCTGCTCTTGAAGCTTTCACATAAAAACAAAAAAATCTTTGCCGGTGATCGACCTGCCTCTTATCAGGCTTCCTAGCTATAAAAGGTGCGACTGGGGGTGGAGCTCCAGCAATTTATTGGCTAAGTGGTTAACCTCTTTAAAAAGTGTGGCGGGATACTTTGTTCCAATTGATTTTAGAATTGAAGTCAGTCAACTTGAAAATGTTTATTTTATTTAGCAGTGGCGCGAAACTTATAAACGTCTAGAAGATATAATATTAATAGTATGTACAAATAAAATGCTAAATTGCAAATATGAATTCAACCTTTTGTTTGATACCCATATTGTACACATTTTAGTCGATATTTACGTAACTGGCTGAGATGTCAAAATAACAGATATCCTGCATATGTATAAAAAACTTCTCGTAAATAACACAGGTTTTGTAGGAAAAACTTTCTCTCACTCTCACTTTTATCATTGACAATCCCACCCTACTCCTAAAAACAAAAACAGTGATATTTCTTTTCCAAATTTCTTTGCAAGTTTTAGGAACATTTTTAAATTTTAGTAGTGACATGTTTACCTTTTAAATTTGAAGAAATGCAAGACAAAAAGGGTGAGAAATTTCCTTAAATGCCGAATAGTTGTATTTATTGACATTCTTGGATACCTATTGATTTTGTCAAGTCGCTGTAAGGGTAAATGAGTCAATGAAGGTATTTAGGCATTGACCTACACAATACAATCCCGGTGTCCCCGAATGGCACTTTGACGCAATATAATTTTGGCAAACCGGGGCGCCGCACCGAAATTGCGCATATGGAAACTGTGCATTTAGACATTATTTCGGTTTCAACCGAAACTGTGCATATATGCTTTATTTCGGTTTTTGCCATATGCATTATTTCGGGTTTAAACCGAAACTGTGCATGTGCACTACTTCGTTTTTTTTTTCATATGCATTATTTCGGTTTTAAAACGAAAGTATGCATATGCATAATTTCGGTATTTTCTCATATGCATTATTTCGGTTTTCAACCGAAACTGTGCATGTATGCATTACTTCGTCTTTCACATATGCATTATTTCGGTTTTCATCCGAAACTGTGCATGTATGCTTTATTTCGTTTTTTGCCATATGCATTATTTCGGTTTTTGTTATGTGTATTATTTCGGTTTTCTAACGAAAGTGTGCATATGGATAATTTCGTTTTTTCTAATATGAATTATTTACTTCTACTTAGTAAGGGTTTTAATCCCTAAGCGCGGCTGAAAGCCGCCTACGCAGAGAAAAGTTCTGCGCAAAAATACTTCCGCTCTTCTTTTCCGGCAATACAGAAAGAGGAATTCTACTTGGTAAGGGCTATAATCCCTAAGCGCGGACGAAGGCCGCCTAGGCAGAAAGAAGTTCTGCGCAAAAATACTTCCGGCCCCCTTTTCCGGCAACACAGAAAGGAGAATTCTACTTAGTAAGGGTTATAATCCCTAAGCGCGGCCGAAGGCCGCCTACGCAGAAAGAAGTTCTGCGCAAAAATACTTCCGGCCCCCTTTTCCGGCAACACAGAAAGGAGAATTCTACTTAGTAAGGGTTATAATCCCTAAGCGCGGCCGAAGGCCGCCTACTCAGAAAGAAGTTCGTTTTCATGTATGCACTATTTCGGTTTTTGTCATATGCATTACTTCGGTTTTGAGTCGAAACTGTGCATGTATGCATTACTTCGGTTTTTGTCATATGCATTATTTCGGTTTTGAACCGAAACTGTGCATGTATGCATTACTTCGTTTTTCTCATATGCGTTATTTCGGTTTTCAAACGAAAGTGTGCATGTATGCATTATTTCGGGTTTTTCATATGCATTATTTCGGTTTTCAACCGAAACTGTGCATATATGCATTATTTCGGTTTTTTTCATATGCATTATTTCGGTTTTCAAACGAAAGAGTGCATATGCATAATTTCGGTTTTTCTAATATGCATTATTGCGGTTTTCAACCGAAACTGTGCATATATGCATTATTTCAGTTTTTTTCGTATGCATTATTTCGGTTTTTTTCATATGCATTATTTCGTATGCACAGTTTCCATATGCACAGTTTCAGGGTGCCACTTACGGGTAGGGTTGCTTCGAGAGTAGTCGTATCAAAATTGCATGGCATTGGTTAACACTTTCGACTCGACTAGTGAATTAAAACGAAAAAACTTCGCAGCACTGGATAGTTTTCGACGACTTTCGTCATTTACTTATTTCAGCACGACGTTAGGTAATGCCAATGTTGTCGAGTCGTTCCGTTTAGTCTAATTTACGACTTGCGCAATGAGGCTGAATATTCACAATTATTTTCATAAAACAATTTTTGCATTAATTAATTATGAAAATATAGTTCATTCTATAACATCTGTGTTCGTATAGAATAGTAGGTTATGTCGGTAAGCTGGCTTTAGTATAATGCGGCATTCCCTACATTTTTTAAATGACAAGGAATTTTTTGATGAGACTTAATAAGAATATTGACTTGCTAGTATTGGAACTATTTCTTGCACGTTTATTTGCCAAAAGTTCTTCAACGGCTCGGCCCCAGTGCGTCATTCGCAATCGTATACTGCGAATGCTACATTATACTAAAGCCACCGTTTCGACATATGCTATTATTCCATACGAACACAGATATAAACCATATAAATGAAAGTTTCACACTTTATATAACGTTCACAAAAACTTAACAAATTTTTATTAAAATTCCAAAAATTCTAGAAAATGTTCGAGTGTGCAGTTTTGTAGGCCATTTTAGTCTAATGAAGTTCAAGGTTCAAGTCGCTAAAAATTACCGTTTTTTAGATTTTTTTTGTGCGTTTTCTTTTATATAACGCATGATCAAAATCTATTTTCATTTATTTTTTTTGAAAGATAATTAAATTCTGAAGAGGTTTAAGATGCTACCTTTTAATTTCCATTTGTTAATATTAAATGTTTTACTGCTAAGAGCAGACAAACCGCCCAATTCTATGTTTTCTTGATAAATTTTTTGTAAAGAAATTTCATCAAGATTTTTATCAAGTAAAAGCTTCGTTCGCATTCTGTGTCAATATTTATAAAACAAAAAGCTCTACGATTTCCACATTAGCGGAACTGATTTCCACATGAGTGGAACTGATTTCATTGTCACATATGAAAAATATGAATTTAAAAGCGAAAAAGCTTTTGACTGCCGTAGCCGAGTAGGTAGAGATGTCGACTATAATTCCGTGTGTCGCAGGTTCAAATGCCGGCACATGGAGTATTTAATTGTTAGAAACAAATTTATTAAGATACAAAATTTATACATTTCACATGAAATTTCAATTTGTCAATAGCATTTTCAATCTTGATAATTTATCAAGAAAAGAGCTTTTGATTTCTGTGCTAGAATACCAATTCTTGATAAATAATAAAAAAGTGACAAATTATAAAGATTTTAAATTTATCAAGTACACAGAATCGGGCTGAAAGTATCAATTTTGAAGAAAACCCCATTTAAATCCAAGAATGAAACTATGTACGAAAATTAAAAAAAAATCTGCAAAGTTTCAGCAAAATCGCAAACTTTTTAATAAGAATTTAAAAAAAAATCAGGTATGCACTTTTCTAGTCCATTAAATAATAGTGCATTAATGTGCAAATTTCAAATGTCTAAAAAATTCGCGTTGATTTTTGAAATTTTTTTTTACTGACTGTCCTACGCATTTTGTTCCATATCAAGTATTTTCAGTTTTTTTTTCTTGTGCGATTTGTTTTCGTTTTGGGGAGCACTATAATTGTTTTCAACTACCTACTACTACTACTACTACTACTTTACCTAAACCGGAGAATCGATTTTCTTCAAAATTGCTACTTTCTCTGCCCTTTGCTCTAAAAAATTTTAATATAAACAAATAAAACATTCAAGTACCTACAAAAATTGACTCACTTAAACCCCGTAAAAAATTTAGTGAATTTCTGGTAGTGCTTTTTTAATTTGAAGTATCTACATATTTATTTTAAGCAAAACAAGTACAATCAACATCAGAATTCGCCCGAATCCAATCTCTTGCAAAAACAACGTTGGCAAATCCATTTGGTATATCGTTTCCACAATCGTTAATGGTGAAAGTTGCTAGACCAACTAGTACCCCATTGTAAGCTGCTGGACTTCCAAAATCGCCATCACAAATACCATTACCAGTACTCTTGGCGAAGCATCTCATTGAATCAGCCAATTTGCCAATACGCTTAACACAGTTATCGTGACTTAGCGCTTGCTCTGTATTATACTGCAACACATCGGCCAATCCACCACTCGACACTACACCCCAGCCGGTTATAGTGACCGATGAGCCCTCAGGAACCTCAGTACTACCAAGTAGTATCGGTTTTATGTTATCGTTGAAATCTAGTGGACTGCTGAGTCTTAGTAAAGCTATATCGTTATTAAATGAGCTATACTCAGGATGTATTTTCACCTCAGCTACTTGAACTTCTACGCCGCCCGAGTTGAATTTTACGGTACCCGCACGTATTGAGTAGGATGTGTTGGAATCACTAAAAAAGAGATGAGCTTATAAAAAAAATGCTGGTTATTAGATATGTATGTGTATGTAAGTAGCTTACACCTGTATACAGGATGCCGTTGAGGCAACATAATTTCGCGAGATGATCGCACCCCCGCAGATGGCGATGTATCCATCAGCGTGCCGTAATACTAACACGTGGTAGGGGAATTGTCCTTCGGCAGCATTCTGCCCGCCATAAATGCGACTTTGTGGTACCTCGAGCAAGCTACCGGCGAAACTGCTATTGCCTGGAGCAGCATTTGTTGGCACGCCCACTGAAAGGATGAATAGGACTGGAAGTATTGCAACTTTACTCATATCCATGTATCCCAGTGATAATTGTAGAATGCGAAGTGTGTATTCTAACTCATTTCGTCGCTTCATATTTATATAGCTATTGGTAAAAGTTTTGCTAATTAGTGCGAGTAAGCGCATTAAAAATCAATTTACGTACATTTTACGTTTGACATGCGAGTTGATTGTTAATCTTTTTCCTGCTTAACTAATTTGTTTACAAATCTCTTACGAAAAGAATATTTTTTTTTTGTATTTTTACAATTAATAATCTCGCACACTTTTTATGTATTGACCTAAGATAACAATTTTTACTTATTACTGAATTTGCCGAGCCCCTATTGATGTCCCACCAAACTCGGTGCGAACATTACTTAGGGCTTGACTAAGAAACCCGTTGAAAATTTTTGAAATCAGAACCACGCCCACCTACCATATAACCGCAATTTACAGAAATACGAAAAGTGCGATAAATTATTAACTATTTAAGCTAATTTGCTCGAAATCAATATATGCCATGACCACTTAGCAGGAAATGATACTTAGGAAATTTATTTGAAAATGGGCGTGGCACCGCCCTGTTACGCCTACATATGTGTGTTATCGGTAACCGGTTTATCAATTTCTACCAAACTCGGCGCATTTATCAACCTTGGCACAAAAAAGCAATATGCTGAAAATTTCTGATATCGGACTAAAATTACTGCCACTTACGATATAACGGTAAATTTCAGAAAACTCAGATTTTTCAATAACTAAAGACTAAAGACGCCAACTTACAACGATCACTTAACAAGACACAAGATTTTTGATTTTGGTTAAATGGGCGTGGCACCACCCACTTATGACTACATAAATGTATATCGATAACCGCCTTACCGATTTCCACCAAACTTGGTCCAATTATTTCAATAAATCATAGCATATTATCGAACTGTTTTGAAAAATACCCCTTGCTTATCATGCAGTATACTTACGATGACCATCCGTCCTTTATTTAAAAGGACAGTCCTTTATTTTAACCCCCTGTCCTTTATAATTTTTTTCAAAATAAAGGACGCATTTTGTCCTTTATTTCTTAAACGGTCCTTTAAATCGGCTCTGCATTTTTCAGAGATAAATTTTTAAACGCAGAATATGAAAAAATAAAACTGTCCCTTATAAAATATAATGAAAACCTTTGCCAGTTTGTTTCGCACCCCACTTAAGGGTTTCTATTTAATCCGTAATCTTTGTACAATCTATGAAGTACAGGGAAAGTTCCACTGTTCCACTGAAAGAGAACAATAAATCCCCTACTGCACAGTGGTTAAAAACTGGCATTTAGTGTTCGTAATTCACTGGAGCCTTAATTTTTCACTTAATTTGATTAATTTTAATTTTTTTTATGAAAGCTTACGATATTTGCAACAGACCGGTTGAGCCTAATTTCTGAACTTTTATTTGATTATATTAAATGTTTTAGTGCAAAATGCAGATAAAGTAGTAATTTTGAAGAAAATGTATTTTCCGGTTCCAGTTAATAAATGTTACATAAAAAAAAACTAGTTAAAAACAATTGTATGGCTCTCTCAAAAAAAAAAAAAAATACACAAAAAAATTGAAATGTTGTAAAAAATGTTCACCAAAATAAATATTTTTTTGGTTTTAAGTAAAAATTAGTTGAAAAATGAAGGCTCCAGTACATTATGAACATTCCAATTCCAATTTTGAACCAATGTGTGCTGGCTTCGTTGTGCAGTATGAATTATGGTAAACGCATTTTGGTAGCAAAGGAAGTCCTTGAAAAGGATTTGGCTTAATTTTTCGCTACAGCAGGGGAACTTGTACATATAAATAATATAATTAACTGGTGAATATTTGATTTAAGTTACGATATGGGTAAGGTACTTTTATCATACAAGTTGTATGTACGTATTCCCAAATCATTTTGAAAAAATCCTTTATTTTACGTTGGTTAATATGGTCACCGTAAGTATACTGAAAGGTGAAAAACGATATTTTATATGTGCGCCGGGTATCTAATGTTCGGTTTCGTCCGAACTTATACTTCTTTACTTGTTTTTTAACCGACTTCCAAAAAAGGAGGAGGTTATCAGTTCGTCGGAATATTTTTTTTTATATTTTTTATATTTTTTTTAATTTTAATTTTTTGTTTATGTATGTTACCGCATAACTTTGGACCACGTCAACCGATTTCGATAATTCTTTTTGCATCGGAAAGGTAGTGTCTCAGAGATGGTCCCATACCAATCTGGTTAAGATCCGATCAGTGAATCATGAGATATATATATAATTCAAGTTTTTCAGTTGAAATAAGCTGGGGACACTTGTATTTGTAGGGTACTATTGAATTTTTTCTGCAAAAAATTTAAATTTTCAGCCACTGACACTTTTTCGTTTGAATAGTTTCTCCTGTATATCNCTATTGAACTTTTTCTGCAAAAAATGTGAATTTTCAGCCACTGACACTTTTTCGTTTGAATAGTTTCTCCTGTATATCTATGCATGCGCATTTTCTTAATCAACTATACCATAGGATTGGCTCTTTTATACTTTGAATATTTTTAAATCGGAAAGAGATAACTTAAATTTTTTTAATGGCGTAGTTTTGCATCACTTATCTGCCATTTTGCATCAAAAAATAAATTTTGAAAAAAGTGGTAGTGATACGTTTATGCTTTAGTAAGAGTACACAACTTCTATCGCAGCACTGTTTTCTATAAATAATTAAAAAATATTTATTTTTAGATTTTTAGTAACTTTTTTTCTTAAAACTAAGAAAGCACTACTAAAAGTTCACAACAATTGTTTTCCCTGTTATTTGACAAGTTTTTACTTGTTATAAAAAAAGTTGTAGCTATCTTTGGAGGCAATTGAAGCATAATTTTGTCTCCTTTTCTAGCAATACGATTCGCTTTCTTTAATACAGACAATTGTATAAAATTCAAGCGAAATTATATTGTGTCGCACGTTGTATTTAGGTCATCTTAAACCATCTTATTTCAAGCGAATTCAACCAAATGCCATAGATTTTCTATGTCTGCTTCTACCACAGTAACTTTCTTAGAAAATTTAGATTTTGTGGAATATTTTCACTTGAAGCAATTTCATGGCACTTAAATCGGAGTGGTTTGCAATCGGTGCTAAGCCAACTTTTGCAATGAATTAGAAGGAGTTTTCTGCTGTGCAGTAATGGTAAACGAGGAAGCACTTTGACGCAGCATCAAGTTGCAGCTTTGCCCATAGAAATATTTACCCAATAAACATTGGGCTTTGTTTAAAAATTCGAAAACGATCGGAAAAGCAATATTTTTTTAGATAACTAATGTGGAATAGATTAGTATTCGATTCGAGAACTAAGCCATTCTCCAACAAAACGGAACCTTCGTTATCCAATGTATTTTTCCTTCGTTATGAATTCGAAATCCAGCCCATTATCCAATTAAAATTTGAATAAGAGAGAGTTATTTTCTTTTGTTTCCCTTCGAAAATGAGTTGGGTTTCACATCCTCTCTTGTTACTATGGTTTTCAGTTTTTTTTTCGGCCCCTCGATTGTATTCCCAATACACCTTTTCTCACTTGGCGATTTTTAGTAATAACTCGACTCCAGCGCCACCTGGCATTACTTTTTTGCAATAGTATTGCTCATACTGTTACAAATATATACAGTGGTCGAAATTATTATAGCCGCACCAAATTTTGGCAAGTTTTAACATATTATTTTTATTGTCATTATTTTGGTTATTTTTTTATAAAAATATAGTTCATTCTTTAACAAAACCCGTGCAAATCCAAGTTTAAAACTTTGTGCAATATTAAAAAAAAAAATTCAACAAACTTTCATAAAAATTTCTAACTGTTTTAATTAGATTTCCTAGAAAGATTCTGAGTATGCAGTTTTGTAGCTCATTGAATTCTAGTACAACAAACTACAAGCTTCAAATGGCTAAAAATTACGGTTGATTTTTTAGAATTCTTTTTTGTCCCATTTGCTTCCATATATTTTCTTTTTATATGGATGTAAATCGAAGCATCCTGGACAAAGAAAAAATATATAAAAATGTAACGGTAATTTTAAGTAATTTGAAACTTGTACTTTGTTAAATATTAGCTAAATCGGATCATAAATAAGATTTTTAGTAGTAACTCAACTCAGCTCCAACTGGCGGGTTAAATTGTGAAACTAAACCATCCATAAAAAGACCCACTCAAACACACACAAAAAATGAGTATACATACATATCTCCATACGAAGTTCCAGAACTGTACCAGTATGAAAAATTCGGTTTGTATGGGTGCCACGCCTCCTTTTCAAATATCCCCAATTTGCGCTATCTGATCTACCATGAACACTTCCAAAGACATGCCGTATGGTTTGTATGGGAGTTGCCACGCCCCCTTTTCCAATAGCTCCAATTTTCCTCCAAGGTTATGCGATTGAATTCCTATACCGCAATACCTAGTTCCAGTATTCTACCATTCAACGCCCCCTTTTCCAATAGTATTTCGCCAATAGTATGCGATTGATAATATATATCTGCATACCAAGTTCCAATACTCTACAGTAAATATTTCCAGAGATATGCAGTATGAAAAATTCAGTTTGTATGAGAGGTGCCACGCCCCCTTTTCCAATAGCTAACACTTTTTTATCCAGGAGTATGCGATTGATTTCGTATATTTCCATATCAAGTTCCAGAACTCTACCATGAACACTTCCAGAGATATACAGTATGAAAAATTCGGTTTGTATGGGAGGTGCCACGCCCCCTTTATATATCGAAATTTTTTAGCCCATAACCATCCTTGGGACGTGTGCGGTAGGTGTCCGACATTTCAAAAAAATCCGTTCAGCCGTTCTCGAGCTTTGCGAACACAAAAAATTGGTTTTCAAAATATATATATTAGTATAGATACGTACATAGGTTTGTAGTTTTGTGCAAATATGTTATTCTTGTGGCGCGTGTTGGCTTCGGTTCTCAGCAGTTTTAAATTTAATAAACGTGGATGGAAGGTTCAGAGGAGCTGAAACAGCTGTTAAACATTTATGTACATGTGTAAGGGTTTCATAAATGCCATAAAATACAATTTGCACAGCACGACTTCGCTTGAATATATATTCCATATACACATACATACATATGTATAAATAAGTTTATATGTTCATATGTATATGTATATATATCTTAGCCTCAGTCTGCCGTATGCTCCGGTTGCGGTCTTCTAAAACCTCGATATAATAGGATAGACCACCATCATACGCTGGATAAAATTCACATCTGCAATATGCATTTGCTTCCACCCACATTTGGTTGGTTTGTTTATTTGCACTGGCTTTTCTCTTAAATTTTGTATATTACTTGTATTTTCCAGTAATGCACATATGTATACATCCCATATGGTTTCCATTTTACCTTCATAGTAATATGTGCATACATATGTACATGTGTACTTGTATTCGTGCTACGTATCATATATATTGCCCTGCAGGAAATGTATCTAACTATAAGCTAACTTTAAGTTGATTAGGAAGAATCTAAAAGTCACTATTATCTGTATATTTTCTTTGACGAAAGCTAACTATATTTCTATGGCGATGACTGCGAAATAGTCCTCTGCATTTGATGTAACTAACTTGTAACTAACTACTTTTGGACATAAAATATCAATTGGAAGAACAACATATTTTTTTTTATTTTTTTATTTATCTACTTTATTTATTTTATTACATTTCATATTTGTTTACATATTCTGCTGTAGGTGGTCCCATATTCGAACTCCGTAAGCTATAACTGCAAAATGATAATATGAAATTTCGATCTTCCTTTTATTTGTCCCCAGTTCGAAAAAGTATTTGCGAAGTGCAGGATATTTTAATAGAAACGCGTTTAAAGAAAATAATCTCCTGCATTACTTGCCTACTAGTTTCAAGTAAGCTTTTTGTAGCTAACTACAAGTTATATATTTTATAGAAATCCCGCAAAAAAGCTAACTACAAGTGGGTTATTTTTTATCAATTGATTTTTTTTCTGCAGGGTTCATTCATCAGAACTTTTTATTATATTTTACGATTGCGTCTTTTACAGAATTACATTTATCAATAACTAGCCGGCTTCGCCACGCGCTGGGTGTGTATATATGTATGTACATAAACGCATTTGGAGAAAATACAAAAATGGTAACCCTATTTGAAAAAATAAAGCGCTATTGCACACCTAATGACCAAGGCCTTTCATTTGATATCTCATGTTTTTAATGCAAAGAACGGCGTAGATCTTATAATTTTTTATTCTATTCAAAAACATAAAACCTTATTGCACATCTGGAGGCCAAGTCCTTTTATTTGACAACTCAGTTTTAGTCCAACGAACAGCCCACATCATATAATCTTTCGCATAGGTGGCAACTCTCTTCGAAAAAATAAAACTTTATTGCACATGGGCCAAGCCCTTTCATTGGACACCTCATTTTTTTTATAATTGAATGAACTGTGCAAATGTAATGTCTCTAACAAAAAATGCCTTCAGGTATTATATGAAACTAAAAAAAATAAAAGCTTATTGCACATCCAGAGACGATAATATGGATATTATCCTTTCACTTGCTACTCATTTTTTAGTTCAACGATCGGTGAAGATCTTAAAATTTTTTAGAAAGGTGGCAACCCTGTAGAAATTCTAAATACCAAAGGTCACTCTCAACAAAACAACTTAAATCTATCTTTCACAGACTAACCAAATAGCATATGTCGATAAAATATATTTTACCGTCAAAGAGGAAATGGTTACAATACGAAAGAAATATTAAAATATTTTATCGCTATTCACAACCTTTTAAATGTCTAAATATAGTTCATTCTATAACATAAACCATAAANGTCTATCTTTCAGAGGCAAACCAAATAGCTTATGTCGATAAAATATATTTTACCGTCAAAGAGGAAATGGTTACAATACGAAAGAAATAGTTATTAAAATATTTTATCGCTATTCCCAACCTTTTAAATGTCTAAATATAGTTCATTCTATAACATAAACCATAAAAATCATAATTTCACGCTTTATAGAAAATTTTCGAGTATGCAGTTTTGTATTCCGTTCAATTTTAGTAAAATAAAGTGCAAGTTTCAAGTCGCTAGAATTACTATTGATTTTTTAGAATTTTTTTTGTGGAGGTTCTTGGGCATTTTCTTCCATATAAAAATAGATTTTGATCACGCGTTATATGGAAGAAAACGCGCGACACCCTCCAGTAGCGAATGTCATGCACATTAGTCACTTAAGTGTCTTGTACGGAAAAGTTACGTCTTAAATGACTTTGGGCTCCATTTATATGGAAGTCGTTCATGACTCTTTCATATAAATGGTAATTTTGTCGTTGATGTCATCTGCATGAATTTGTCAGGCAGTGATCATTGATGACATTCAAGTCTGTTATAAGTCTTTGATAGGAGTACACCTGAATGCATTGTCACCAGTATGATTGTCAGCTATATGTCGTTTAGGATTCACAGCAAGTGCGACGATGTCACGAAATCCTCATTAGTGACGATGTTACCGGTGACCATTTTCGCACTGGGAAGTCAAGCACAATAACGAACAAGGTTGCCAAAATGTTTGGATATACTTATCCGTCCAATCCATCTTACCAACTTACCAATTGGAAATGAACCTACCAGTAGGAAAAGCCGGTGTGTACCAACACTGACATATAGAGCTACCAATTCCTTTCGATATTAAGAAGCTCATTCGGGTAAAAACCTCTTGTTGCTTTTCATTAAGCCAAAGCCCCTATTTTTACTACCTCTTGTAAAATCTCTGCAAGTCATTGAAACAATAGTTTTCCAAGCGAGCGTAATCTTCTTCTACCTTAAGCCGGGAAATGGCATAACAGATGTTGCACATTATCTACTTTCTCTATGTCAACTATGTTCACCGGTGTGTCTACATGGCTTGCAAGACAGTGAGGTAATGATAACTAGCTCAGTCTTAGCTGTGTTTACCTTTAAAGCACATGGTTTTTTCCAAGTAACCAGTGGTTTGAGAGAGGTCACTTTTCTCGGGGAACTGACACTGAAATATCGAGCTTCACGCCCAGCAATAATAGGTTCATTGTTATAACTCATAAAGGTGGGTAGAGATCTCCCCCTTTGGGGTGCTCAAGAGGATGCAAACGTCCCAGAATTATACTAGTTAAGCGGGGAATTTTACTGGGAGATACCCAATTTCCGAGAGGATCGTGATGTGCCCAGTTTATATATGTCATCACTTATTTTCAAGTGTCTGCCATGCTTTTATTGTTGTAAAAACATAAAATCCTTTCCACTTACTTCCAAGAATAGCTACATTCACTGGACGAAAATATACCAGCCGAAAGTTGAACATTATTGAATTCTCTTTTTTCTTTCTTCATCAAGTCAGTACGTTTTTAAGCCTTGGCAAAAAGTTTTGCCTATGATTTGGATGTTCTTCCCTTTTGGCTTTTCATCGTTTGTGGTTTGCACTAATTTGGTCATTTTGCCTTTGCGTTGAGAGCATTGCTGGTTTGCAAATTACAAATGGCGCCGTCATTTTTTATTCCATGTACTATTCACACGTTCCCTACCTTTAGCCTCAATTGCAATTCTTTTCAACTTGGCTTATGGTTGTTGTGCGAAAATGTACTTTACTTGAAAACTTTCTGCTTGCAAATACATTTAAGAGCTTTTTCTGTGTATTTTTTATTTTGCTTTCTTCAACATTGCTTATACATATGTATGTTCATTAGGGTGGTCCAAGCATGCATGTGAAAAAGTAAAGTCGGAATTTCGATGGTCTCATCCCCTAGGATTGTTCTATACCGAAAAAATAGACCCTTATTTTTTTTTTTAAATCAAAAAATATTTAGCGGTCGCTCAAAGCGCCCAAAGTTTTCCATGTATTTTATATGGGGAAAAAACAACTTTTCGTAGAAATGGTATAGAATAGTAAAAATCAATACTTTTCTACTAGAAAACTCTGTTTATCTGCAGGAGATTCCCAATAATAATACCAAATTGTTTATTCAACAATTTTTTCATCGCAACTATAATTTATAGGTCCGCCAAAAATACACAAAAACGCCGAAATATGCAATGGGGCGGCCAATAAAAAATCGTTAGTATTAAAAAATGGTTAAATAAACAATTGGGTATTATTACTGAAAGTATCCTGAAGAGCACCAGAGTTTTCTGATTGAAAAATGTTGATTTTCAAGAATTCTATACCATTTCTACGAAAAATTTTATTTTTCCCATAAAAAAATACATGGAAAACTTTGAGCGCTTTAAGAGACCTCAAACTAAAAAAATAGGGGTATACTTTTTTCGACATAGAACAATCCTAGGAGGTGTGAGCATTTCAAGTCCGACTTTACTGTTTTTGGACCAGCCTAATGTTCATACATACATATGAATACATACAGATCGACATTTGCATTTATCATTTTAACGTGTGCAATTTATTTTCAGTTTTTATGCTGTAAAAATATAAAACTTTTTCTGGATGTTTGCCGCAACCATTTCGGACTTCGGGATTCAGATCTCTTCGAGCCCACAATGCTGTACGATTTGACGAATTTTCATCGTGTGCTGATAACACTCTCGAAATTATCGCAATGCCGCAAAGTACAACAACTACATCCGGATTTAATGTGAGTATTTAGTGAACATTAAAAGCTACGTAATTTAATCAAATAGAATTAATTGAAATGGAATAAAGTTAATACATTCATATACATATGTATCAGCAAAAAATTTTATGTTTACTGTCGCATGCAAATTAACTCTTCGACGTAAAACAGTCCTTAATTTAATCAAAACACAAACAATTAATGAACATTGACTCGTTGTTGTGGTTATAACCCCGTCCAGATCGGCTAGTATCTCAGTCATTGTCGTCAAGCTCTACTAACGGGAGACCCAAGAAGCGTACAGCGTGTCCGTAAGGACAGAGGCGTTAGTAGAGTGGGGTTCAGTTGGCATGCGAAGAGATGTCTCGAGTCGTGGGATGTCTCTCCGCATGCTGGGCACTCGTTTGGCACATCTGCATTTACTTTGCTCAGGTACAAGATTAACCTGTTAGCCAGAGCGAAGTTGGACTATTGTGGTCCGAGTGTACCGAGGAAGACGAAGTAGACGAAGCTCCGGCTCGTCCACGTCAGGTTGTGTGCCTAGAATGGCATTCACAGGTCTGGAGTCTACATAACTTGAGACCGACTCCCTGCGAATGCCGCTGAGGGCTTTATGAACCTCTGGAGTTCATACGTCAGTTCGTATAGATGTCTTCTGACATGTCTTGGCGAAGGCTTCTCTGCAAGCAAGTGTCTGTTCGGGTGTCCACGTCTGTGGCTTCCTACTAAAAATTGCTTGCTGAGCATTGTGTTTTGCTCCTTTATGGGGAGTATTACCGCTTCGTCATGCAGGCATGATGAAAACATCCGGTCGCTGTCCGGAGTGCTGTGTTTTGAGTCGTGTGGAGCTTCATCCACTGCGTCTTACTGGTCCCCGGCGACCACTTTGGTGCTGCGTAATTTAGAACCGGCCGGCCAGTTGCCTTGTATGTNTGCGCCTCGTCATGCAGGCATGATGAAAACATCCGGTCGCTGTCCGGAGTGCTGTGTTTTGAGTCGTCCACTGCGTCTTACTGGTCCCCGGCGACCACTTTGGTGCTGCGTAATTTAGAACCGGCCGGCCAGTTGCCTTGTATGTTGCCAGCTAGCGACTTGAGGACCTTGTTGCGGCTCTGTACTGCGTTGATAATTGCAGTTGTATGCGCACAGAAGGAGAGCAGACTGTCGTAAGTTACTCAGAGTATTTTCGGGTTATTCATCGTCGGAATTGGTGTGTAATCGACGTGAATACCCAGCGGTAGTCTGACCTCCTTCGGCCAGGTGGTAAAGAGGGTAGCCGAGGATTTTGTTGGGGAGAGGGTTAGGCAACCGTTTACTTTCGAGGACAAATGTTCAATTCCATTCCCAGACGCCATTATCGAACAATCGTCAGCGTAAGANCCCTCCTTCGGCCAGGTGGTAAAGAGGGTAGCCGAGGATTTTGTTGGGGAGAGGGTTAGGCAACCGTTTACTTTCGAGGACAAGTGTTCAATTCCATTCCCAGACGCCATTATCGAACAATCGTCAGCGTAAGAGGCAATCGAGACTCCCTGTGGTGGTTGAGGGAGCTTGGAAATATAGTATTTAAACTGTAATAGGGAAAGGACACCACCCTGTGGAACCCCCTGTTTTAGTTTTTAGGTTTGCTCGATTTGTCTATAAACATAACTGATGAGTCTCGACCACTCAGATAATTCGCCGACCACCGTTTGAGTCTCTGTGGAAGAGAGAGAAGAGTCAATGTTCTGGCTTGGCTTTTCACTTCGATTAAATATATATTAATATGTTCGTGCATATGTATGAATGTACGTACATTAGGCCAAAAAACAACTGTTAAATATGAGGATATTTTTTTTAGAGTTTTTAGCGTTTCCACCTACGTTGAAAAATTATTTAAAATGTAAAATTTTATTTCTGTACTGCTTTTGTTAATGTTGTATAATTTTTAAGCGAGTTGAGGTATTTAGGCCGTTTAAAACTATGAATTTATAAAGTCTGCGCGCTAGGCATACGAAAGATATCAATCCCCCTAAGTTTACCTTAAAATATTTCCGGGGGTACGCCGCGTGAACGTGTAACCTTCTGACAGGTGTCACGGCGGGTTCTTAATATTTGCAACTTAAATTCAGTAACTTGGGTTCGATAAAATACCACTTCTCAGTACTATAGCTATATGCCTCCAGAGGTATGCATCATGCGATTTATAGATTATATGGGCTGAGAAAATAAATCTCATTCGAAAGCGGCTTTGGAATTGGAATAAAGATGGTGAGTGTCGATCTTGTTCTAGCGGGTCCATTTCAAGTTTTGACGCATTGTGGATATCTAATCAATGATGGATTTACCACACTACCGCCGTGGTCGTAAGTCGCCTCATTTTCTACTCTAATTTTTAGGCGTTTTCCTATCGACCAGCATTTCAAGCTCTACCTACCAACGTTCTCTGGTGTCGCTTTTTTAGTTACTCACCACATAACTCGTATTGCTTTCGTTCGCAGCATGGCCCCGTAGGTGGTATCATTTTACTCTGCAGCGTGGTGGCATTCCACACCGTACCAATTGTTCTTTTGCGGCTCGCTGAAATCCGACTACATCTTCGGCAGCAGTGCACAGTGAGCGGGAGATTCGGTGCCACATATATCTTTTGTTGGAAGTGTTTTCTCAAAGAGCAGGTGTGGAAGTTGAGTAGAGAAGGTGTGAGTTATCCGTTGTGGATTGCGGCTTTTTGATTTCGAGCTCTCCCTGTGTTGCTGGATGCACTTTTTTTGCGCACATCGGCATGTGTGTATCTTGGCTGCAACAAGATAGTGATCCGTGTCGATGTTATTGGGAAATGCTCCCAATGTATGAAAACGCAGTGAAGTTGTAGATAGGAAGTTTTATTTTAGAATGAAAAATTTCTCGTATACATTTTTCACATTTGAAAATAAGAACAATAGTGAGTAAGTATTTTTGCTTTACAATATTAGCAAGTAAATATTCGTATAGTGTTTTCCAAAAATCCAACACTTCCCCTCAAAAATACAAAACTTATTTCAATAACAATTCGCTTCTAAACTTATTCAATTTAATGAAATGTAATGGCTTGGTTAGTAAATCTGCAACCATATTATCAGTCGGACAATATTGTATATTTACTATATCTTTCTGTTTTAGGTCGCGTACAAAATGATACTTTGTGTCTATATGCTTTGTTCTACGACTAAATTTTTCGTTATCAACAAGCTTTACACAACTTTGGTTATCTTCAAAAATAGTAATGCGCTGCACCTCTGACAACTCGAAGTCTAAAATTAGCTTTCTTAACCACAATGCCTCTTGACAAGCCTCTGCCAACGCAATGTATTCTGCTTCTGTTGAGGACAATGAAACACAATTTTGCTTCCTGCAGCTCCAGCTTATGCAAGCACCTCTATATTTGAAGATATATCCACTATTTGATTTTCTGTCATCACGGTTTTGTGCCCAATCGGCGTCTGCATATCCCACCAGAACTTCAGTTTTCTTACTTTCTAGTTTTAGCTTCAAGTCTTTAGTGCCAATCAAATATTTTATTAACCTCTTGAGCTCCACCCAATCGCTTTCGGTCGGTCTGCTTACATGACGACTTAGAATTGACACAACAGCTGCAATATCAGGACGAGTATTAATGCTTATGTATAATAAACAGCCAATAAGTTCATGATACAAAGTGTTATTTTCTAGTAATTTCATTTCATCGCGGTGTAAATTTATGTATCCAACATCCATTGGGATTTTTGAAAATTTTGCGTCTTGAAGTCCAGCTTTCTTAGCTAAATTTACAATATAATTTTCTTGATTTAGAGTATAATATCCGGACTCCTCCCTCTCAATTTTGATACCCAGATAAAAATTAATTTTTCCAAGCCGTGATATTTCAAAATTATCTTCTAATATTTTTTCGACAATTTCGAAATCGGTGTTTACATTTGAGGCAACTAATACGTCATCAACGTAAACCAATACGATATGTAGTGATCTTCCCTCTTTTTCTTCAGAAGACAGCAATCAGCTTCTCCTCGATGAAAACCTGCTGCACGTAAAACATCGAAAAATTTGTTACTCCAACATCTTGCAGATTGCTTTAACCCATATAAACTTTTTTTAAGTTTGCATACTAGTACTTCTGCATTTTTCGATTTGACTTCATAACCCGGTGGCTGGCGCATATAAATGTCTTCTACTAAATTTCCATTTAAAAACGCAGTTTTTATATCATAGTGCTTAACCGTGTAATTTAGCGAACCCGCCACTGCTAAAAACGTGCGGAAAGTGGTTGAACGTATTACCGGTGCATATACCTCTTCGTAGTCAACTCCATACTTTTGTGTAAAACCTTGCGCAACCAACCTAGCTTTGTACTTTAATATATTTCCGTTTACGTCTCTTTTGATTTTGTAAATCCATTTGCAGTCTATTGCCTTACGCCCTCGGGGTAGAGTTACCAAAATCCACGTTCCAGTTTTACGAAGAGAATCCATTTCATCATCCATAGCTCTCATCCATTTGGATTTATCTTGTCGAACTAAAACGTCTTTGTAATGGCTTGGCTCTTCTGCTTCTGATACTAAGCAGGTATATTTAACTGGGGGTTTTGAAACTCGCTTTGATCTTCTAAGCTCTTCTTCTGGAACAATGGTGTCATCAGATGAAATATCAACCATTGAATTCATCATTAAGTCTTGTTGTGAAATTATAACGCTGTCATTGCCTTCATCTACAGCTTCATCTTAATCTGCAGTCTTCTAATTCACTGTGTTCTGTATTTTTCTTTTTACTAGCTTCTAGTGATATGCCCACTTCTTCCGAGATTTGTCCAGATTGCTTTTCAAATTCCAAATCATCTTTAAGAATTACGTAATCTCGGCTAATGACAATTTTCTTCTTCTCTTTACTCAAAAATCTGAGCGCCTTCGACTCCTCTGAATATCCCACGAAAATTAATTTTTCTGTTTTCCTGCATAACTTATTACGTTTTTTAGCTGGTATTAGAACGTGAGCTTTTGAACCAAACCGTACAT